CCCCAAAACCCCAAAACCCCAAAACCCCGTAAACCAAAGAGTTTGTGCAAATATCGAATGGTAATATGGAGAAGGCTAGATATGGATGGGTTGGAGTTAATGGACGAATGAACAAGGGATGAATTTAGAGTTGTTTGAGTGGTAGTTGTAAATCATGTCTTTGATCATTGCTGAATCGTAGTTGAAGTTGGTCTTAGCAAGCAAACCATTGAGTCCAATTGAGTAGAAGTCGTGCATGATAGCAGCTTCTTTCTCGTTTATATAAGTTCCAATGTACTTCTTCTTGTTGGCTACATTGATGAGGACTTGCCAGCGTCTACCATTTTTAAGAACTCCAATGTACTGAGAACGTCTGGAGGAAGCACCATTGTGGAGACCCCTAGAGCTCTTTGTAGAAGCAGTGAAGCTGACATCTTGAAATGAGTTGACCATTTCGAGGAGGAGGGCAAGGTTTTCAGAAATATCTGGAAGTGACTTCTTCTGAGACTTGCTGGTGAATGTTTTTGATTGAGAGCAATTGAAGGATTCACAATACATACTGAGATCTCCGATGGTTGTTTTACTCTCAATATTATTTGAGAATCCAATTCCACTAGGAACTATAGCAGGGAGGTCTTTAAATCCCCAGCAATATTGTTCTATCAAAGCTGATAAAGTTACATCGGAGTGATTACCGTACGGCTATATAAAAGATTACTTAAGCATCATCCTTAATTTTTAAGCTTACCATTAAAGGAATTTGAGTCCCAAAATAGTTTGTCGAGAAATTTCTAAGCATATTTTTTATTAATTTTATTGAATTTGGTAGCTTTATATATCAGAGCAATGATATCAACTTTATCGAAGTGGTATGATTACTAAGTAAACTCAAACTGACCGTTTCGTCATTCTTGAAAGAGATTTCTGAACTTAATAATTTTTCATCAAAGTTCTCCTAATTCCTGAAGCATCTTCCTCGGTTTCAGTTATTTTAAATATTGGTATAAGTGCTCCTAGAATTAAGCATCTGAAGAAAAATCTGGAGTCATAGGAATTTATGAACTCTTAATCTTGAATTATTCTTCCTTTTCTAAAGGTTTTATGCTTGATATAGCTGATATTTTGAAATTTTGGTTACTTTTCAAGCTACTATTCATAACTGCCAAAAACCTACCATTTATCAGAGTCTACCTTTCTAACGTAACTAGAAATTACTAACTTAATTATATTTCTACCTCAAAGTTTTAAGGAAAAGAACAAAACTTTGATATTTTTGGGAATAAAAGCATGCTGATGCTTCTCTGACTTAAAATATCGTCAAGACTTATCAGAAGTTGCGAAGATTTTTAAAGAGGCCAAAATTCTTATATCGAATCAAATAGTATAATGATAGTTATTGTTAAAAGCTCTGAAAATTAGAATAAAATAGTCTAAGCTTCTTTTATAACCAAACGGACATAGTTAAAAGAAGAGGCTATCACAAAGGTTATATTAATTGGTTCCCTTAAAAAAAATAAGTTTTAAGCATGGTAAAGAAAAATATTTACTGACTCTATCAGACAGACCCATCGAAAGTAACCTTTTCCTTAATTTTTTTCTGAGTTATGACAGGCAGCAAATTAATGGACTCTTTGAAGGTGAATTATAAATTGAGGATACTGAATTAAGTTAATTTTGATTAAGGGTCTTAATTCTTCTATTTTAGAAAGTCCTTTAGACCTTGCCTATTTAGAAAGTCTTACAATTTATAGCTAAACTAGTCCCTTTTCATAATAGTCAAGCCTCTAGTAACAATTTATTTCGGAAATTCAATATATTAAGAGAAAAAATTTGTTCGCTTGTCTTACTTGAGTTTTACTATAGGCTCTACCCTATTTTTCTTATAGTCTTCTTTTTAATAAACATTAAAATTAATAAAACTAACTGGCAGTGATAACAGATTTTGGTTCTCTTAGCTCCTATTGATGAAGAAATTTTTGTTGCAAGTTTTGCCTTCTTTAGAGCATTTTTAACTCAGCTTTTTGCATCAGTGATTTTTATTGCAGTTTTCAAAAAATCTTAATAATTTCCTTCTTTGCACGAATTGGTGAATATTCAAAGAACTCAATTTGTTGGATAAATTAACACCCCTTGCAATTAGGCTAAAGGCGTAGAGCAAAGAAGAGGAGGATGGCCTTCCTCTTAAGATCCAGCAACCTTTTGCTCGTTAAAAATAGATATAACAAATTTTCTTTAAATCGAGATCCTTCTATCATAACCATATTTTCCGAACTTGGTGATTAAACTTCTCACTAAAGCCAAATTCCAAAACTGTTAAAATTTTATTTATAAAACTACAAAAAATAGGGCGTTTTAGGCATCTCCCATTGCTCAAGGCTCCCTCCTGCTCTACCACTATCATCATGCATCGTATTAGCGATCCCACAACCACAGGTGCATACTAACCCAGTCTTGGCCATATAGGAGATTTCATTGGCCCTTGGCTGAGGATATTTGGTCACACGGAGAACAACCAAAGTCTTCTCAAGAGAAATTTTGAAGCAGTGCAGGAAATTAGTGGAGAGAACTTGGATTTTGAGTTAAATTTTTGTATGTCTGAGAGTGAAGTAGTGGGCATATCAGAGATCACTGCTTTTCTTATGTAGGTCGTTGATAAAGAGCTCTAATTTATCCAGGTTAGCCCCTAAATTTTGTACTCAAGCACCTTGATAATGGAAACTCTTTTGATAATTAAAAGAAGGATTGCAAGAAACATATATTTGTAATACTACGAGAGGTTTATAATTCGTGTTGAGAAAGATTCGCCTGCTTTAATTTGTAGAAACCATATCTAAAAAGGGCTCATAATTATTCCTAGACAAATAACTGATATATCAAAATTGACAAAAATATAAAACTAGCTTTTGGAAACAAGTATGCTTTGATTAATGTATAAAGAGTTTTTACATAGAAGGAACTTTAATGGGAAATCATCAAAAATAAGAAATATAAAGCTTCTATTAGAGCACGATTTTCATATTAGAATTTAAGAAATCTAACGTTGAATGAGAAATTTATGGTGCAGAGAGCTTGGAAAAGATATTAGATTCATCTCTGCGTAATGTATAAAAAGTAGCAAATAAATTTAGTCCACTTCTAAAATTGTTCTACTCGATTTTTAGAATATTGTCAAGCTTTAACTGAAGCATGGCCACTCATCAAATATTCATTCTAATCAAAGTTTGATACACTAAATTGTAATTTGCAATATTATTCCCCAACAATTTGGATGTATCGGAGTATTCTCTTAAAATTCTAAGCATCTCAACTCCATAATAATTAACATAAGGTGTAATTTCAATAGCTTGAGACCATAGTGGGGTTTTGGGGTTTTGGGGTTTTGGGGTTTTGGGGTTTTGGGGTTTTGGGG